GCCCGGTCTATATTCTATTTCTAACTCAAAATCTTGAATAGTAAGCCACCATCTTGCAATACGCGGCACAAGATCCTTTTTAGTTAAAGTGGTACGAATGGCTGAACAATCAGTGATAACTGTAACAGGTATACCTACAAGGTAAATGCGAAACCTTTTGAGTGACTCTACGACAGCAAGTGTTTCCAACTCATAGCTGTGGTAGAATCTCTCCTCCCTGCTGGTAACCCTACTGAAATATGCTACCGGTTTTAACGTGTTATCAGATTGAAATTGCATTAGAATACCACCTAAACCGATTTTACTTGCATCTGTATACAACTCTGTTTTCGCAGTACGATTGTTAATAGCAAGGACAGGCCTTGAGGTCAATAACCCCTTTAAGGTATTAAAAGCTCTATTTTGTTCGGCACCCCAACACCAAATATAGTCCTTTTTTGTTAATTCAGTTAGGGGGCGTGCTATAGACGCAAAATCTCTAATAAATTTTCGAAAATATGATGCCAAACCAATGAATTGGCGGACCTCGTGAACATTGGTTGGCGTTTTAAAGCCGAGTACACACTCAATTTTATGTTGACCTGGTCTTATAGTCCCCGCTGTAATTTCGTGGTCCAAATAATCGACAGTAGTTTTTAGAAATGAACATTTACTTAGATTCAATCGTAAATTTGCTCGTTTAAGAAGTTCTAACACTTGTTCTAATAGCAAAAGTCCTTCCTGAATTGTGACAGTTGGAAGAATCATATCATCTAAGTATACCGCAACTATTCCGTTTTGATTTGTACTGACACCATAGCTTTCCTTGTCATTTGATTTGCTATAGTTTGCCAACTTCCCTAAAGCTAGTTTAAGGGCTCTAGAGAATACAGCCGGACCGTTGGCCAATCCAAACGGCATTCGGACAAATTCATATTGTCCGGAAGGCGTAACGAACGCAGTTTTCGGGATAGATTTTGGAGAAATAGGGATCTGATAATACCCTTGGGCGAGATCAAGTGCAGTAAAATAGTATTTCCCCGATAACAAACTAATAAGGTCATCTATGTGTGGCAAGGGAAAACGGTCCCTTACTGTACATGAATTCAAAGCACGGTAGTCTATACATAATCTGTACTCCCCATTTTTTTTTCTTTACTAATACTACTGGACTCGTATAGGGTCAATTGGACTCCCTTGCTATTCCCGAATCTAATAACTCTTGAATTTTTTCATCTACTATTTCTTTTTCCTTGTATGATAATCTATAAGGCTTACAAAAAACTGAAAATTGCAAATGAATCCGAATATTTATGTAGTATCTTAATCAACGTATCCCGTTCATTATTATTTATTTCGCCTAAATCTAGTTCCTCTAAGTTAATTTTATTTTTTCTAAAACGGCGGTTTGAATTGATTTTATTTGTATCAGTACATAATATATTCATTATATTCTTCTCATAATAAACCTCCGCCCTAGTTAATAAACGCCCCGCTCGCCACACGATAGGGTGATTTCTTATATTAATAATTTTAATTGCATCAGTCGCAGACGTTAATAAAGCGCCCGGTATTAAATACATATCCTTCGAATTGTAAACAGGTAGAGTAGTATACGTTAAGTCCACACACTTGGCATTTACATAAATATTAACAGACATTTCACAACAAGAAGGAATAACTACGTCTTGTGATAATCGTATTTCATATGTATGGTGGAAATCAGTTCTATCAAGATTAAATTGAGTTAAAATATTATCACATAAATCATTTCTGATCAGTGTGGCACTAGTAGAACTAGTGATCAAACTAATGTTATCTTGACTGATAATAGGTTGACCTATTATCATGTCAATATTGGCTGTACAAGTATGCGTTACTTCTGCAAAGCTAGATATTTTTAATTTATCGATGTCTACTGTAAAGTGAACGGTACCAAGAGAAAATATACAGTTATTCCCAAATCCTCTCAATACAACAGTGGATGGAATTAAAGGTAGATCTAGCAATCTGACTATATCGAGCGTCAAAATATTCACTTTACTGCCGGTATCGATATAAGCACTTATCTGGCGATCGTTTATGATAACAATTTTATTTAAACAGTCTCGCAGAATATTAAAGGATTTAAAAGTGTACATCACCTTAGCACCTGCGTTCCAGCAGGTCGTAGACTCATGGCCCCGACGCTGGCAACTGGTACAGAAGAGCTGGCTCCGACAGTCTTTAATCTCGTGGCATGGTCTTCGACAAATGTAGCACAGTTTCGTCGATGATGACCACCCACGACGCCACGTAGTCTTAGTTGGCTGACTAGCTTCTCTGTTCTTAAAAAAATTAGTCTCAATACTTTTGTAATGTTCAAGTGAAGACAGATACCCATAGTAAAGTTCTTCAGCCGATTCGCATCTGAAAGCTTTCGCATTTGCCCTTAATACAGTTGGAAGGCGCCTAATAAGACATGAAATGGTCGCTTCTTCGTCAAATTTACATTTCTTTGCTAAGGACATCTTGTCATGAAAATATGCGGTCATAGTTTCGTTATCATTTTTCGTGCGTGCCAACATTAGTTCCAATTTATCAACAAAATCAATAACCATTGGAAAAGCTCGTTCAAGCGCATACTTCCACTCATTCCAAGTCAATTCATATATATCTAAATTTTCATACCATTCACGTGCAGAACCACGTAATCTCATGTGCATTATATAAGATTTGTCAGTATCACTCCAATTGTATATGTGACCTAATTGATCGATCTTAATAAGCCAAGCCTTAGCACTCAACGATTTTGGGCCTGGTTCGAATTTTGAAATTAATTCTGCATCCATGTGTGTAGTTTTTCTTTTCTTCGCGATAGTTGAACTAAGGTTAGAAAAAAATTTTTGAATATTTTCGTTTACCTCAGTGGTTTCTTCTGCATTTTTCTGAACTTCTTGCCTAACCCGTTGATGTAGGGTCCCAAGGTCTCCATATTTTGCCGTAGTTGTGGTGCGTTGTAACTATATCCCACTTCTGAGATATTACAGGAGTCGCAGAAAGGAATAATAATACGCCTGATTGTTAGTTGTTTCCTTTACTAATTTTACAGCACGAAAAACCCCTCAATCATTATTGCAATCGTTTTTATAATATCACACAATGGTTGTAGCTACCCCTACTACCTATCCAAAGTGAACCTAACAACAGTTCGAATGTGTAAGAATTATACAATCCAAATACTTTTATAATATGAAAATAAGTAAACCACTGTTATAAATATTACTGATAAGTCAATTAATTACAATTGTTTAGCAAACGAAAATACTTACATAATATTCTTTACAAATCTCACAAATTCTAAATTAAAATAACTGAGAAAATTATCTATGATAATTATTATGACAATACAATGACTTATAATCTATTTTATATTTGTAATTAAAAAATAATATTATAAAACAAAACGATAATTACACAATTATTATTTAAATGACTCATAATAGGAATTATTTAGCAATCACTGATAACAAATGTTAGTGTGTAACCTGTCTATCTTTTTTAATACGTCTTTAATAATAATAATAATAATAATAAATATTTTTATTTCAGTAACATACACCCGTATTCAAGAACGATACTATGCGTACGCACAGTAGGCTTTAACCCACAGTGGACGAAATTTTGTTTCATAAACGTTACTTGAGTGTTGGACGACACTATGCAACTAATTAGGGACACCCTTGGCTAAAGTTACCCATTAGCTACTTTAACGAACGCATAGGGTCGGCGTAAATGTCATATTCATAACCTCAAAATAATAAAGCATAAGTTATTACTTATATATAAACTATACTCCATGATATAAACTTATAAACTATTGTTTGTCTTTTGTGTATTTTAGTACTACCTAGTTAAAATAAAAATGAGTGGTAGTGATGAGGAATTTGATAATTACTTGGACGGACAAGTGAATCGCCAAGAAAGCGTGACAATAAGGCGTGTTATCAGATTTTCAGAACCCTTTCGAATATTATAGTGAAGTGGAATTTAAACAGCGATATAGATTTCGCAAAGAAACAGTATTAAACGTACTTATGCCGCTAATTTCTCACAATCTCGAGAAACTTACAAAAAGAGGACTACCAATTCCCCCAGTGTACCAGTTGCTAATTGCACTCAGATTTTATGCCTCAGCCAGTTTTAAAATTATCAGCGGCGACCTTATTAGTGTTAGCCAACCAACCGTTTCAAGAATCGTCAAAAGAGTGTCCTATTTGATTAGTTTGCAAATAAAACGGTACATAAAATTCCCAGAAAACAGTGAATATACAAAACTAAAATTTTACCAGATTGCGCAGTTTCCTGGAGTAAGAGGATGCATAGATTGCACACATGTTGCTATCCAAAACCCTGGAGGAAATTTTGCTGAAGTTTTCCGTAACAGGAAAAAATTTTTCTCCATAAATACACAACTTGTGTGCGGCCCTGAATTAGAAATATATGACATTGTAGCTGACAGACCAGGTTCAGTTCATGATAATCGTATATTTCAAGCAAGTACATTAAAAGCAAAGCTGGAAGGAGGAGAAATTGATGGCTTGCTTTTAGGTGACAGTGGTTATGGTTGCCAAACATATTTACTGACACCAGTTCTACGGCCAGAATCAGATGCTGAACAAAATTATAATAAAGCTCACATTAAGACCAGAAATACTGTTGAGAGAACTATAGGTGTTTGGAAAAGAATTTTCCCATGTTTGTCAAAAAAACTAGCGACAAATCTGACAACAACATGCCATGTAGTAGTAGCCACAGCCATTTTGTATAATATTTGTCGTTTGCATAATGAAATTGAGGAGAATATAGAACCACCGGTGATAAGAAGAATTGACAGAAGGAATGCCAATCCATCCAATAGACAGGGATTAGTTTTTAGGAGAATGTTTATTGAACGACATTTTTGAAATGTATTTCTGGTAGTTATTGAAATTATTGTATATTATTGTAATTTAAGTAATTTCATGTAAATAAAACAATTTTTACAGGGACTTTGAATAAATTAATTTTTTTTTTTCCAATAATGCTATTTCTAACTTAAGTTTCTTGATTTCTAAATTGTTTTTTTCTATTTGAAATGTGGCTTGCTGTGACTCTTTTTCCAATAATATTTCTTCTTTTTTTATCAATATTTTTTCCCTCTGGACTCTCAATTTATGTAATTCTGAATCCTGCTCTATATTCTCCTTGCACCGCTTTACCCGCACTTGGACTTCACTGGAGAGCTTACCATTGTTATCTGAAATAAAATAAGTATAAATCTACAACATGTATTATTGAGAGGAGTGTTTTGAAGTAGTAGTAGCTGGTAGTAATTAAAGACTTACTAAATGGGCATAATTATTAATACATTAAAATAAATTTTAATATTACATTATAAGCAAGTGTGTCTGGCTGTTATCATTACATAGGTCAATTACATCAAATTATGTACACTTGTAAGTAGATAGTGTATGTAATGGAAAGCTAAAAGCTCCCTTGAACAATGAATTTATATTTGCCTACTTCATATCTCCGTCCGTACATAAAAAATTACATATTATACTTGTTCCTGTACCTGTTAATGTTTTTAAAGGAAATAATCCTCTTTTGCTCTTGCTTAATTTTAAACTTTCTATGACCTCATTATCTGCAAAAAAGGAAAAGTAAATACCCAAAATAAAGTAGCATGTACACAAAATAAGATATTTGAAATAATATCCAGATATAGTTTATCTTTTTGTGCATTCTATTCAATGTTTATTTTAAGTAACATTTTGACAATATTACAGAACTATATTACCATATTGGTTTTCCTTATCTATTTTCTCTGGAGCATGTATTTCCACAGAACTCAGGTTTACTGTGAACAATAACAATAATGTTGCTTAAATTTCAAAAAATTCCATTTCTAATTTACAATATAACTCTGCTGTTTAATAGTAAGTAAAATGCAAGCTTTGTATAGAGTAATGATGTAAACAAAACAAGAAATAAAGCTTCATCCTTAATTATGATAATTATGTAACAAATCTTTTACCTAGGACTTTCTCTTCTGTGTTTGAGTCAATGACTCCAGGTACAGTCAGATTAATGTATGGGCAAATACTGTCTATGACGTTTTCTGTAGTGCCCGCTTCACCAACTCCACCTCCAGTCTGTAATAAACTGCCGACTTCCATTGACAGCTCCTTCTTACGACAACTTTTTATGTTTTCCCAGCATCTCTTTAGCTGTAATGCCGTTCTCTTGACCACAAAAGGTACTGCATTGTAGGCATTTTCAATTTCGGGTATTTATTTTGGGTATTTACTTTTCCTTTTTTGCAGATAATGAGGTCATAGAAAGTTTAAAATTAAGCAAGAGCAAAAGAGGATTATTTCCTTTAAAAACATTAACAGGTACAGGAACAAGTATAATATGTAATTTTTTATGTACGGACGGAGATATGAAGTAGGCAAATATAAATTCATTGTTCAAGGGAGCTTTTAGCTTTCCATTACATACACTATCTACTTACAAGTGTACATAATTTGATGTAATTGACCTATGTAATGATAACAGCCAGACACACTTGCTTATAATGTAATATTAAAATTTATTTTAATGTATTAATAATTATGCCCATTTAGTAAGTCTTTAATTACTACCAGCTACTACTACTTCAAAACACTCCTCTCAATAATACATGTTGTAGATTTATACTTATTTTATTTCAGATAACAATGGTAAGCTCTCCAGTGAAGTCCAAGTGCGGGTAAAGCGGTGCAAGGAGAATATAGAGCAGGATTCAGAATTACATAAATTGAGAGTCCAGAGGGAAAAAATATTGATAAAAAAAGAAGAAATATTATTGGAAAAAGAGTCACAGCAAGCCACATTTCAAATAGAAAAAAACAATTTAGAAATCAAGAAACTTAAGTTAGAAATAGCATTATTGGAAAAAAAAAAAAATTAATTTATTCAAAGTCCCTGTAAAAATTGTTTTATTTACATGAAATTACTTAAATTACAATAATATACAATAATTTCAATAACTACCAGAAATACATTTCAAAAATGTCGTTCAATAAACATTCTCCTAAAAACTAATCCCTGTCTATTGGATGGATTGGCATTCCTTCTGTCAATTCTTCTTATCACCGGTGGTTCTATATTCTCCTCAATTTCATTATGCAAACGACAAATATTATACAAAATGGCTGTGGCTACTACTACATGGCATGTTGTTGTCAGATTTGTCGCTAGTTTTTTTGACAAACATGGGAAAATTCTTTTCCAAACACCTATAGTTCTCTCAACAGTATTTCTGGTCTTAATGTGAGCTTTATTATAATTTTGTTCAGCATCTGATTCTGGCCGTAGAACTGGTGTCAGTAAATATGTTTGGCAACCATAACCACTGTCACCTAAAAGCAAGCCATCAATTTCTCCTCCTTCCAGCTTTGCTTTTAATGTACTTGCTTGAAATATACGATTATCATGAACTGAACCTGGTCTGTCAGCTACAATGTCATATATTTCTAATTCAGGGCCGCACACAAGTTGTGTATTTATGGAGAAAAATTTTTTCCTGTTACGGAAAACTTCAGCAAAATTTCCTCCAGGGTTTTGGATAGCAACATGTGTGCAATCTATGCATCCTCTTACTCCAGGAAACTGCGCAATCTGGTAAAATTTTAGTTTTGTATATTCACTGTTTTCTGGGAATTTTATGTACCGTTTTATTTGCAAACTAATCAAATAGGACACTCTTTTGACGATTCTTGAAACGGTTGGTTGGCTAACACTAATAAGGTCGCCGCTGATAATTTGAAAACTGGCTGAGGCATAAAATCTGAGTGCAATTAGCAACTGGTACACTGGGGGAATTGGTAGTCCTCTTTTTGTAAGTTTCTCGAGATGGTGAGAAATTAGCGGCATAAGTACGTTTAATACTGTTTCTTTGCGAAATCTATATCGCTGTTTAAATTCCACTTCACTATAATATTCGAAAGGGTTCTGAAAATCTGATAACACGCCTTATTGTCACGCTTTCTTGGCGATTCACTTGTCCGTCCAAGTAATTATCAAATTCCTCATCACTACCACTCATTTTTATTTTAACTAGGTAGTACTAAAATACACAAAAGACAAACAATAGTTTATAAGTTTATATCATGGAGTATAGTTTATATATAAGTAATAACTTATGCTTTATTATTTTGAGGTTATGAATATGACATTTACGCCGACCCTATGCGTTCGTTAAAGTAGCTAATGGGTAACTTTAGCCAAGGGTGTCCCTAATTAGTTGCATAGTGTCGTCCAACACTCAAGTAACGTTTATGAAACAAAATTTCGTCCACTGTGGGTTAAAGCCTACTGTGCGTACGCATAGTATCGTTCTTGAATACGGGTGTATGTTACTGAAATAAAAATATTTATTATTATTATTATTATTATTAAAGACGTATTAAAAAAGATAGACAGGTTACACACTAACATTTGTTATCAGTGATTGCTAAATAATTCCTATTATGAGTCATTTAAATAATAATTGTGTAATTATCGTTTTGTTTTATAATATTATTTTTTAATTACAAATATAAAATAGATTATAAGTCATTGTATTGTCATAATAATTATCATAGATAATTTTCTCAGTTATTTTAATTTAGAATTTGTGAGATTTGTAAAGAATATTATGTAAGTATTTTCGTTTGCTAAACAATTGTAATTAATTGACTTATCAGTAATATTTATAACAGTGGTTTACTTATTTTCATATTATAAAAGTATTTGGATTGTATAATTCTTACACATTCGAACTGTTGTTAGGTTCACTTTGGATAGGTAGTAGGGGTAGCTACAACCATTGTGTGATATTATAAAAACGATTGCAATAATGATTGAGGGGCTTTTCGTGCTGTAAAATTAGTAAAGGAAACAACTAACAATCAGGCGTATTATTATTCCTTTCTGCGACTCCTGTAATATCTCAGAAGTGGGATATAGTTACAACGCACCACAACTACGGCAAAATATGGAGACCTTGGGACCCTACATCAACGGGTTAGGCAAGAAGTTCAGAAAAATGCAGAAGAAACCACTGAGGTAAACGAAAATATTCAAAAATTTTTTTCTAACCTTAGTTCAACTATCGCGAAGAAAAGAAAAACTACACACATGGATGCAGAATTAATTTCAAAATTCGAACCAGGCCCAAAATCGTTGAGTGCTAAGGCTTGGCTTATTAAGATCGATCAATTAGGTCACATATACAATTGGAGTGATACTGACAAATCTTATATAATGCACATGAGATTACGTGGTTCTGCACGTGAATGGTATGAAAATTTAGATATATATGAATTGACTTGGAATGAGTGGAAGTATGCGCTTGAACGAGCTTTTCCAATGGTTATTGATTTTGTTGATAAATTGGAACTAATGTTGGCACGCACGAAAAATGATAACGAAACTATGACCGCATATTTTCATGACAAGATGTCCTTAGCAAAGAAATGTAAATTTGACGAAGAAGCGACCATTTCATGTCTTATTAGGCGCCTTCCAACTGTATTAAGGGCAAATGCGAAAGCTTTCAGATGCGAATCGGCTGAAGAACTTTACTATGGGTATCTGTCTTCACTTGAACATTACAAAAGTATTGAGACTAATTTTTTTAAGAACAGAGAAGCTAGTCAGCCAACTAAGACTACGTGGCGTCGTGGGTGGTCATCATCGACGAAACTGTGCTACATTTGTCGAAGACCATGCCACGAGATTAAAGACTGTCGGAGCCAGCTCTTCTGTACCAGTTGCCAGCGTCGGGGCCATGAGTCTACGACCTGCTGGAACGCAGGTGCTAAGGTGATGTACACTTTTAAATCCTTTAATATTCTGCGAGACTGTTTAAATAAAATTGTTATCATAAACGATCGCCAGATAAGTGCTTATATCGATACCGGCAGTAAAGTGAATATTTTGACGCTCGATATAGTCAGATTGCTAGATCTACCTTTAATTCCATCCACTGTTGTATTGAGAGGATTTGGGAATAACTGTATATTTTCTCTTGGTACCGTTCACTTTACAGTAGACATCGATAAATTAAAAATATCTAGCTTTGCAGAAGTAACGCATACTTGTACAGCCAATATTGACATGATAATAGGTCAACCTATTATCAGTCAAGATAACATTAGTTTGATCACTAGTTCTACTAGTGCCACACTGATCAGAAATGATTTATGTGATAATATTTTAACTCAATTTAATCTTGATAGAACTGATTTCCACCATACATATGAAATACGATTATCACAAGACGTAGTTATTCCTTCTTGTTGTGAAATGTCTGTTAATATTTATGTAAATGCCAAGTGTGTGGACTTAACGTATACTACTCTACCTGTTTACAATTCGAAGGATATGTATTTAATACCGGGCGCTTTATTAACGTCTGCGACTGATGCAATTAAAATTATTAATATAAGAAATCACCCTATCGTGTGGCGAGCGGGGCGTTTATTAACTAGGGCGGAGGTTTATTATGAGAAGAATATAATGAATATATTATGTACTGATACAAATAAAATCAATTCAAACCGCCGTTTTAGAAAAAATAAAATTAACTTAGAGGAACTAGATTTAGGCGAAATAAATAATAATGAACGGGATACGTTGATTAAGATACTACATAAATATTCGGATTCATTTGCAATTTTCAGTTTTTTGTAAGCCTTATAGATTATCATACAAGGAAAAAGAAATAGTAGATGAAAAAATTCAAGAGTTATTAGATTCGGGAATAGCAAGGGAGTCCAATTGACCCTATACGAGTCCAGTAGTATTAGTAAAGAAAAAAAATGGGGAGTACAGATTATGTATAGACTACCGTGCTTTGAATTCATGTACAGTAAGGGACCGTTTTCCCTTGCCACACATAGATGACCTTATTAGTTTGTTATCGGGGAAATACTATTTTACTGCACTTGATCTCGCCCAAGGGTATTATCAGATCCCTATTTCTCCAAAATCTATCCCGAAAACTGCGTTCGTTACGCCTTCCGGACAATATGAATTTGTCCGAATGCCGTTTGGATTGGCCAACGGTCCGGCTGTATTCTCTAGAGCCCTTAAACTAGCTTTAGGGAAGTTGGCAAACTATAGCAAATCAAATGACAAGGAAAGCTAT